GGAGTTACACAAGTCATTTGAGATACCGGGGCCATTACCCAGCTCCGGCTAAGAATCAATCTGAGAACTATTAAGAACTATTGAAGAAATTCAAGAGAATTAAAAAGAGGTTGAAAAACTATGAATGACTGCTGACCTCTTTTTGAATGCTCAGAACCCCTAGACTCCCAAACAAAACTCTAAAACTATCCAACACTGTCTTATTCCCTGTCGAGCTCTTCCAGGCCTCACACTCCCACCCGGCTAGGTGACAGAGCAACACGACTTGCCCCAGCTCCGGCCAGCATCGTCCCGACAGTAACCCTTGGTTGTCCCTTGGAATGCCCACCCCAAACCATCCCCAGATCTCTCTACCAGGCCTCACGCTCCTGCAGTCAGCAGGTTACCGGGCAACACCCCAGCACCGGCCAGCGTCGTTTTGGCATCGAACAACCACAGATCCATGAATGTATCAGTATCAAACAGCCTAAAGCAAGTTGCTAGCAGTCCCCAGAATCCTTAAGCATCCTTTTTTTTTTTTGTAGATACCGGGGCCATTACCCGGCTTCGGCTGAGAATCTTTTTTTTTTTGAGATACCAGGGCCATTACCCGGCTTTGGCTAAGAAAAGTTTGAACTACTTAGCAAATTACTACGACGAACATCAAGAATGAGCAAAGTTCAAAAAACGACTCAGAACCCCCCCATCAATCCTCTTTACCTCACTCCAGCAAGACTTACTGCAGCAGAGCCACCATCTCCGCTGCTGCTGTACCCTATTTCCGTCCTACAAGCTAGCCCCCTCACTAGTAGGACACTTGATATCCAACCATCTACTTCTCCATGCAGAGGGCCCTTTTGTTTTCAGAGGAGCATTCAGATCGAGAAATACCTGCCTTAGAGCCTTTCAGTAGCCCACCCCTACCTGCCTCATCCCTATATCTCGATACTTAGTCTCTACTAGGCCTCACGCCCCCAACCGCTAGGTTACAAAGTGGCACGACCCACCCCAGAAGACTCTCACCTGCTAGGCTACAGGGCAAAATGACCCGCCCCGGCTCCGACCAGCATCGTCTAAGTACCAGCTTACCAAAGGACACTAGAGTGCCTTCCACCCTCGGCAACTCCCCAGATCTCTCTACCAGGTCTCTTGCCCTCGTACTGCTCGAGTTATAGGGCAGCGCGACCAAGCCCCAGCACCGACCAGCATCATTCTGGCCTCGTCCATTCGCAAGCCCACAGAGACTACAGTAAATACAAGACAAGCCACCAATCAACACCATAACTGCAGATTCGATCACTCAGCTCCTTCGGGCGCTGGTTGCAGATATCCCTGGCACATAAAATCCCTCACAACCCTACTCCGGCAAGTCTTAATGCGATGAAGCCACCATCTTCACCGCTGTTGTACCCTATTTCCACCCTGCAGGTTAGCCCCATAGCCGCAGAGCGCATTATCCCCCACCATCGCAACCCCGACCCCCTGCCACCAGCGCCAGCTTATAAAGAATTTTATTTTTTTTTTCAGAAAATTCAATCCCATTCAAGAACATATTCAAAAATAAAAAAGCTATGAAAAACAGAGAGACGAAAATCAGAAATAGAGCCACCAACAATCCAACACAGACCCTCGCTACAGACGAGAAACCGCCGCTCAGGCTTTCAGTCCTCGGGATGAAAATCGCCAGTTCTCATACCCCCCTTGCTACAAGGCACCACAAACTGCCCCAGCACCAAACTAACTGTTTTCCGACGGACTGGAAGTATCTTCCTCCTCGACTACTTCCTTAGTTGCAACCCCCCTAGCGGGTTACAGGGTCACCGCCCCGGCATCAGCTACGTTGAAAGAGGTGGTTATGCCTTCCACCCTCGGCATAACTCCAATGGCCTCAAGCTCCTCTTGGTCACAGAGCCACTGCTCCAGCACCGACCAATGTCGCCCCACCCCGCCCTTCTAGTAGACCATCTACCCTGAGCAACCCTTCCTCCACTGCACGAGCCCACCCGAAATTCCTCCAAAACATACTTCTAACTTTCACCTTCCCATTTAAGAAAGCCAAAAGGAAAAAGGACGAACTAAAACCACTAACAATTTGTCTCCTTCCCTCACCACAGATTCTTTGCTTCTCTTTTTTCGTTTTCTTTTTTTGTAGAATAACGTCTATTTGTTTTTTCTTTTTGCTTTTTGAAAGGACGTCAATCTTGCTACCGGTAGCTCTAGGCTCGGCAAGGCTCGGCATACCGGTAGCAGGGGGCTCGGACTTGATAGCTCGGAAAGGTACTGGTGGTTTAAATAAACACATCCCAATGTGCATCCATCATCCAGAGAGTCCCTTGGGGGGTGCATGACACACCATTGGGAAGGCTCCTGTCTATTCATGGGGCGCAGTATGTGCTGGGAATGGGGCCTCCTGTCTATTCATGGGGAGCAGCATGTGCTTGGAATGGGGCCCAGCGTCCCATGGTCCATGTGCACATCACAAAACAACCTGTGCAGAACTGCCCAGGGAAAAATAGGGATAAACTGCCAGTGCTCTGTGAAGAAAAGAAATGAAAGCCTGCCTCTTCAGCCCTTTGTAAGGCCACCAGAAAGAAAACATGAATTTCTATCAACGCTTTTTGTGCAACCAGTTGGCAGTCCAAAACCGTTCACCCCCTTCCATACCGAGCCAAATCCCCCAACAATTATCCTCAGGAGAGAAGAGGTCTGGAAATTATTATGTCTGTCTTCGAGGTTATGAAGCATCCATGTTTGAGTGTTGATTGGTACTTGGGCGCAGTTAATATCCAGGAGGTTGTACCCATACCAAGGTCCTAAACCACCAGTACTTGGCCCAGCTATCGGCCGCGGGAAAAAAATAGAGTAGAAACGTTTCTAGTCGGATGAACCTGGGCGCTCCTGTAGTGACCCGTACATTTCCTAAA